CCCCCCCCCCCCCACCTCCCTTTACAGCTATTACATCCTTCACTCTTCTGGTAAGACCTTCCACAAGATTTTGGAGTGTGTCTGTGGGACTTTGTGCCCGTTCAGCCAAAAGAGCATTTGTGCAGTCAGGTATGAGAAGATCTAGCTCACAGTGAAAGTTTCAATTCATCCAAAAGATGTTCAGTAGGGTTGAGGTCAGGGATCTGTGCAGACCACTCAAGCTCTTCCACTCCAAATTCCTCAAATCATGTCTTTATGGTGCTGGCTTTGTTCACAGGGCCACAGTCATGTTGGAACAGAAAAGGGTCTTCCCCAAACTGTTGCCACAAGGTTGGAAGCTCTCAATTGTCTAAAATGTATTTGTGTGCCTTAGCATTAACAGTGCCCATTACTGGAACACTTGAACTCAATAATTTGGAGGGGTGCCCGCATACTTTTAGCCAAATAGTAAGTGTGATGGTCAAATGTCAAAATACTTTTATCATTGAAAGGCTGTTGAGGGTTGGCTACATGCGTTATTTTTAGACTTTCTTATTTGCCACCCTGAAGTGATGTAATTTATTGCTAGAGAATGTCATTAATTAGTAAAAGTCTGTTGGGTAAAGGGACTCTCTCATGAGAGGCTGCCATTGCTGAACTGTCCTTTGAGAATGCTAGCTCCCTTGCTGTCATGTAGATAAGTATAAAGAAGTCTGACACTTGTTTAAAACATGCGTGTCCTGGGTCTGGGATTCAAAAGTACTTAAAGCCCAACTCTAGGCTCCACACTTTCACTCCAAGCTCCCCCCTACCCTGAAGGACCCCCTGAGTGTTTTTTATGCTATTTTTGGTTTCATACTTACCTTTTACATAGTCTTGGGGCTCGTCATGTAATGCTGAAGTGTCCTCTTCCTCTTCGCCTCTTCTCTGAGCTGTGGCATCCTTACTTATGCACAAGGCTAGCCCACGAGGCCCTGCATTTACAGTAATGTTGTCGGTCTTCTGGGTGTCATTGAATCTGGAAGACTGAGAAAATCTTGTGATGAAGAAGAGATACTGCCAGGGACAGCTCTGGATTTAAGGTAAGTATTGCAGCCTGAGCTGTCTTTAAAGAAAATTTAAGCAGGAGGCCCGCAATGGCAACCCCATATAGTAATAATAAGGGAGCTGCCATTACTGACCTGTCTGGCTGTCAGGCTGTCACTGGTTTCAATACATTGTAAGCTTTTGACCCGAAACAAGCACCTGCATTAGAAAGTCACAGTAAAGTCAGAGCTCCTATTTTACATATTTCTGCTTCTCAGAACTCAGTAACTCAGAAATGACTGAATCCATTGGACTAGCAGGAAGGCACCCAAACAACTAGCATTCTTAGAATAAATGTAGAAAGGAGTCCGCAGTCAGCCCACATCTGTGGAGTCAGTATATGCAAAACAAGAAAGTCGGCCACATTCCAATTGAATCAGCAATTGCAAAAGCTGTTGATCTGGACGTCACATACAGAAGGTCCTTCCAGTGACCTCCTCTATTTGACGCATTTCCCCCAACAAGGGATTATTCATTGAGGTCTACAATTAGAGTCTCTCCCATCCTCTGGAACCCTTTACCCCAACCTGTCCATCTATCTCCCACCTTGACTGCCTTTAGACGATCCCTAAAGACTCATCTCTTAAGGGAAGCCTATCCCACCTCAACCTAACCACTCAACCATCACTTTCTCAAAATTCATCCCCACACAGCTTCCTCCTCATGTATCACTTGCCTCTCCTTTTTAGATTGTATGCCCTCAGGGGCAGGGCCCTACTCACCATCTTGTCTTGAATTGTATTGTAATGTCTTCCTTATATTGTAAAGCGCTGCACAAACTTTTGGCGCTATTTTAATCCTGTATAATAATAATACAGTTAAGCCCTTGTTGGGGGAAATGTGTCAGAGTGAAGAGGTCTCTTGGTGGACCTCCTGTCTGTTAGGTCCGGACCCATAAACCTTTTGCAACTGCTGACGTCATTGGAGTGAAACGGGCTTTCTTGTTTTGCATCCTTAGAATAAAGCCTGCAGGTTTTTTCAGCACTTTCCTTTTTGTGGTATATCAGTAAATATGATGGCATTGTAAGATGAACATGTAATGTGTGTGGGCAGCCGGCTTCTTTTATTTCCCTTGGTTTTGTTTATTCAGTGATTTCTGGCCACCTTTAAATACATCAAAACAAACAAAATCCCTAAATTATCCAATCTGTAGGAAAATTTGGACTTACGATGAACTCCAAGTGAAAGGCATAAAACAGGATTATGAACATGAGTTATTAGATGTCTGAGACACATCAGAGCAATTTTCTCATTGGACTTCAAAGGTTCCTCTTTTACAGACTGATGGAAACAGCTTGCAGAAGTTGGGGAAGCGGCCAAGGGGCGATGTGTGGTGCCAATATGCTGATTATTAGCAGACGCGCTGAGAATCATTTTTTGGTTCCTGGAAGATGTAACTCCAGGAGAATATAAATTACAGCTCATGCACAGAGAACTAAATCTTACATCATTTTCATGTAAGAAAAAGATGGAAAACTTGCAAAAAAGCTTTTAAAGCTGATCTGTCATCTGTACATCGTATAGATAGTGTTTTGCAAACAAGGAACCCTTTACACTTCCTGTCAGGTTCTTTTTGTATTTGTGTGCCAAACCGAAGGTCTGAGAGTCCAAAATCTTTTAAAGTAACACTAAACTCAGGAGTTAAATCTTAAAAATATATTCAAGTATCTTAGCTACAATGTATCTTATCTGTGTATCACTCGGCTGCAGATCCTCAAATCATCTCTGAATTGGTGCTGACACTGTCCTTCCTTCTGGAGGGGGGCTACTTTTGTTCCCCATGGTCCCTGTGTGTGTTGTAAAGAAATCACCGCTCCAAGCTCACTCCTGTGATGGACTACGATGTAAAAAAGTTACTAAGTTAAACGTGAGATTGTAGTCCATCCCGGGAGCGAGCTTGGAGCGGTGCCTACTTTACAACACACACAGGGACCATGGGGAACAAACGTAGCCCCCCTCCAGAAGGAAGGACAGTATCAGCACCAATTCAGAGATGATTTGAGGATCTCTAGCCGAGTGATACACAGATAAGATACATTGTTGTTAATGGTTAAGGTACTTAAATGATTTAAATCCTGAGTTTAATGTTACATCAATATTAGTGATTGCCTATAACTAGGCAACATGGGGCAGCCAATGCATTTCAGGGGTTCAGACACTCTCTCTTCATCAGGGCTCATAAATGCTCTAACTGGAGTCAATAGGCTACTTTGAGTACTTGTATGCATCTAATAAAGAGCAGTATTAGCTGGCTGCATACCAGAGCGCCATGTCCATGACCCTGTTAGGAAGATTGTACCTAACCACCTGTCCATGTGATGCAGAACAAGAATAGAAAAATCCTGAAAATGAAGTGCTTCTCTGAAGTCCAACTGGGGATATTTCTAATGACTTCCTGTCTCTACATTGAGGGGAAATCTCTCTAATGGTTTCACAGATGGCAGTAAATTCCTGACAGAAGTTCTGTCCCTCCCCACTCTGTCAGAAACAAAAATTTATTTTTTTTGTGGGTTTTGGACTTTAATACAGTATATTACAGAACGAACATGTCAGAATCACTATTATAATGTATACATACATTTTCAAATGCTACTAATGATTGACAGCGCACTTTTTCCCCCTTTTTATCCTTTCAGGTTAACTTGTTTTTCCTTCTGAACATTGTACTAGTGCTTGTGACGAAGTTACGAGACACTCATCGAGCCGAGTCTAACATGTACATGAAAGCAGTACGAGCCACCTTAATTCTGGTGCCATTGTTAGGGATCCAATTTGTTATATTTCCATGGCGGCCGGAGAACCGACTGGCGGGGGAAATTTATGATTATATCATGCACATATTGATGCATTATCAGGTACCAGACACTTGCCTTTTCTTTTTTTTCCATCAAATTACACTGCTGTATATGCTTTGAAGAGTTCTTTGAAGATCATCATCTACTTTCGTAGTCTCCTCTCGTCCTAGTGAAAACATGATTAGTATTAAAGTCTCAAACTTCTTTTCAGTAATTAATCCAGATCAATCAAATATAAATTGCCCAGCAAAGTATTTCTTTGCATTTTTGCTAAACACTTAGTCACCATACTTCCAAACAGCTCCAACTATCTCAGCTCAGCTTCCCTGAACCTCCTGTCCAGTGCAAAATCACAAGGGACAGAGCAGCAGCTGTCCATCTACTAGCTTGGAAGCTGCCAAGGGAAAGGAGCCACCCTAAAACAGGATATCAGGGTCAGTGCTCAGGGGACCAGTTTTTTACTGCAGAAAGCTAAAACTTTTAAACATCAAGAGGCAGCATCTATTCTAAGTGATTTTCTTAGCATTTGAAATAGCTCAACATTCTTTTGACTGTAATATCACTTTAAGGCAAAGACAAAGGTGATCTCACTGGGCCTGCTCCTATAGTCCTGAGAAATCTGAGGATCCCAGGACAGGAAAGCGCATACAAATAGAAGATTTGAGCATCTGCAGATGTAGAGAAAGCAAAGCATAAAACACAGTTTGTAAGGAAGCACACCTACAACAGCTAATCATAATTATGAATGAATGAATCAGGCCGTGGTTCAAATCATCCAATTCGGTTCAAAATCACATTGAGTTTTGGCAAACCCTATTTTGGAAAGCCTGAAAAGACTAAAAATCATCCAGTAATAAAAAGAAGGCAGCAAGGAGATTGATTGCCCACAGAGCTAGCAATCAGAATTAAAGTATAGTTTCCTAACTGACCCTAATATCTCCCTATATAGCTTGTTGGCTTTCCCTACATCAGCTTCCAACACACTGACACTATGGCTGCTCTGTGACCCCATTTTATAGTGGGGGCTGCTTAACCAAAAGCCCCCTTATTGGCATTTTTAAGCCTGCTGGCCATAGTTCAAAGGCTAGTCAGTGCAAAAAAACATTATCCCGGGCAAATCTGCACATAAATTCACTGGGACTCCGAATCTCGAACCTACAGCATTCACCTCCAACCCAATAGTAGTCGTAATCCCAACTCTCATCTTGAATCATAATTCCGCTGTTACTAACACCTGGCTAATTCAATTAGCAAATATAGTTGTATTTCGTTTCTCCGGCAAAATCTAACATTGCTTAAAAAAAAAACCATGGTTGCACTCAGCCGTGTTTCTACACTTGGCTGATACAAGATACAATAAAGAATTGCTTTCAATTCTCCATTTCTCTACAGTAGAATATTACATTTGCTGAAGTTTCATTTGCCTGCAAGCAGAATTATACAGATGGCGGGGAGAGCTCTCATTTAGAGAAATTGAATTATTCCAGAGATAGAAATAACAGAGAGTAAGGAAAGGATGCTTCACTCTTATTCACTATTCTTACACTTTTACATGTTCAATTGCAGCAATTTGTAAAAAGGAAAAAATACATTACTTTTAGCCGGACCAATTTATGACTTCAATGATGAAGAAGAAGGGGGGGGAGGCAGGATGGAGGGGGATCTGAAATAATCAGTTTGATGCTGTGTACTTAGCTTTCATTAGGAGTTCTACAAGATTTTATATACATAAAAAAAAATATATA